CACACCAACTCATCCACACTGGAGAGAGACAGTTCAGCTGTGACGAGTGTGGAAAGTCTTTTACCCACTCTGGAAGGTTAAAAACACACCAACTCATTCACACTGGAGAGAGACCATTCAGCTGTGACGAGTGTGGAAAGTCTTTTACCCACTCTGGAAACATAAAAGCACACGAAGTCATCCACACTGGAGAGAGACAGTTCAGCTGTGGAGACTGTGGAAAGTCTTTTACCCACTCTCGAAACTTAAAAACACACCAACTCATCCACACTGGAGTTAAAGCGTACAGCTGTGATCAGTGTGGCAGAGCTTTTACTCACAGTAGCAACTTACAGAGTCATCTAGTTACCCACTCTGGAATTAAGGCATACAGCTGTGACATTTGTGGAAAAACCTTCAGCCGGATAGGGAGGCGAAATACACACCTACGCATTCACACCAGAAATGATGTGTACAGCTGTGAGCAGTGTGGCAAACAGTTTGCTACAAACACAGAGTTACGATGTCACATGTTTACCCACTCTGAGGAGAGACCTTATAAATGTGACCTGTGTGAGAAGACTTTTTAAATCTCCACGTTACCTGAGACGACACCAACAGATCCACACTAGAAAGACTTTCCAAGTGCAGTTGCTGTGAGGTATTTTTATTTTTATCTTGTGATTTTAGTCTGACTGTCTGAAACAACGGTTAGCAACATGTTAGCATTTCTGCTGCATGGAAAAGCAGCTCTGAGTGATTATTCAGATTTGAATTACAGTATTTTAGTGGTAGCAGTTGAGAATTACATTAATGTAATTGCAGTATTGTTTCTGTTATAGTTTTTGCAACACATTAAGCTGAGTATTATAAAGCAAACAGTAAATGGATGTTATTTTATGTCTTGTCTTTTCTTAGTCCTGGATGTTGACACAGATGATGTTTTGTTTTTTGTTTCAGGCTCCACAGAGTTCAGGTGGAGTCTTCTGTAAAGATCTGATGAGGCACCTATGAATGAAAATGTGCCTCTCGTTACATTTTAAGCTTTCTAAACTGTTCTACTGTAGTGTTTGTGTTGAGTGGTTAGCTTTGTTCCAGCAGTTTGA